GGAGAATGGGCTGCCAAAGTCCATTCACTCACTAGGAACAAATACTTGTTCCACAACAAGAGACACCATAGACTGCCCAGGCCTAACTGTCACCCAGTTCAGGGAGTGGTTCGGTCCTATGCTAGTTTCCCAGCTATCCATCTGGGAACCATGTCTCCCCCTTGTTCAGGTCAACTGTTTCTGTGGGTTTCTCCAGCCTGGTCTTGACTCCTTTGCTCATCACTCCTCCCTCTCTACAAATGGATTCCAGGAGTTTGGCTCAGTGCTTAGCTGTGGATCTCTGCTTCCCTTTCAGGATCTTGAGTCATCTGGAAACCTGTTCCCAAACCTGCATATGAAAGCAGTTGTAATCTGATTAGAGTATGGAGAACTGGGGAATTCAGGGCTTATTTATGTGGATATGGTTGATCTTTCTTTTTAAGATTTATTTGTTTGGTTTTTATTTGTTTATTTTTTTTTATGTGTAGAATTCTGCATGCATGTAACCCTCAGGCCAGAAGAGGGCACAAGATACCTTTACAGATGGTTCTAAGCAATCATGTATTTGTTGGGGATTGAACTCAGGACCTGTGGAAGAATGGTTAGTTGTTAACCACTGAGTCATCTCTTCAGCCCCAGAGTGTCTGGCTCTATTAGGAGATCCCTGTGCACTGGTGGACATGGAAGCACACTGGAGAACCTAGCTGGTGGGAAATGAATAGAAGAGCTCCACAATCCCCAGGTTACACTCACCAACATTACCAGCATTAGAAAAGTTGTTTCAGACTTCCTGGGCAGCAGAGATGACACTAGAGCCTCATCTTTCTCTCTACCTGTCATTCTGTTTCCTGAGGCTCTAAGTTTTATAGTGGAATAATCATGCAACAGTGCCTATGATAGTAAAAGTTTGGCAGCCCTGGAAGTCTGGAGATAGAAAGGAAGCTCACCCAGAGTACAAAATAGGAGTCTTTTCATTTTCTGGTGTTTCTGTCTCCAATTAAGAAGTGAAGGGAACCTGCAGTAGCCATCTGAGCTGTCTCCACCTATGTCTCACCATTAACAGAGGAGCTTTGCTCTCCCATCTTAACTAGATCAGTCCTGGTATTGAAACTTTCCAATTACCTGACAATAAATGTCTTCTCCTTCAATGACTCTCTCGGCCTCTCCATCATTCTATGCCTTTAGATCCTGCAGATCCTGCCACCATGTGGTACAGTTTTTATCCATTTAAGGACATTTTCTTTATTAGACAGATGTCTGAATGCTAGTTTTTAAGGGAGCTTATAAACTAACAGGGTCTTCTCCAAAGCATGGGACTCCTGTATTCATAGGCTCCTGTCCAGAAATCAATTGGCCTTCAGTTGCTGCTGTCCTTTTCAAGAAATGAGACACAACTCGGCTCATTGCTCTGTGGTCTTTCACTCTCTTCCTATTGCTGTCATCCTGTCTTTCTTTGTATATATTTTGATTTCTTGTCTTCCTTGTTTCTTTCCTTCATACTTTTCTGCTTGCTTGTATGCTGGGTGTCTTCTTTTTGTTGTTAAATTAAGACAGGGTTTCTCTATATTGACAATGTTGTCCTATATCTCACTATATACACTTGTAATCACAGTTAATTGGAAAGCTGCACCATGTGCTACAGAGTGTCTTGAGATCAATAAGGATATGTGAGCAACGTTTTCATTTGAGGAAAGCAGGGATAGAGAAATGAAATTTATATGAATAGGAAACCATTTTAGATTTTTACTATGAACATGTCTCTGATTCAATCTCCACTTTTGAGCAGAATAAGAAAAAGAGGAGAGAAAACAGGAAAAGGTTCCTTTATCAAAGGAAGTTAAGACTAGAGAAAAATGAGCAGAAATGTCTTGTGTGTGTGGAGATGGACCTTCAGGCCCCACCTTGCTCTCATGAGTTCACCATAAGCATCAGAGACACAACTATTCCAAGAAGATTGTATCAACTTTTAAAATTACTTTTTATCTCATGTGAGGATTGTAGCATCACAAATGGATGTTGTACACACTCATGTACTGGCAAAAATCTTATGCACATAACAAAAGAACAGTGGGATACTGATGGGGAATGTACTGTGTATGTTTATCTTATTGTTGAATAAAATACTGTTTGGCCAATGGCAGCAAGTTAGACAGGACTAGGAGTCAAAGAGGATTCTGGGAAATGTAGTAGAGAAGTGGTGATCCAGGCAGGAAGTGACATAGCAAGGAGACTCATATTTAAGCAAATGAAACAGGAAGTGTGCCTCTTTTTCCCCTTCCTCCTCCAGCGGCGGGATGTGAGTCACTGGCAAGGAGGTACGCCAATAAGGCGTCCGATAAGATAAGTCTTATAAAATATATAGATTTATGATAATTAAGACTGAGCTAGCAGATGAGAATCCTAGTCATTGGCCAAGCAGCTTTGAACCTAATACAAGTCTCTCTGTGCATTAATTTGGGCCCTAACTCGGGCAGGTGGCTGGCGTAAAGTACACACATGGGGTGGGGCTCGGGTGTCTTTTGGTGGAAAGATTTATCATAGCAGGATACTTGATCTTGAAGCTTTTTTTTTGCATTTCAATAGAACTAGCTTTATTTATTATTTATTTTCAAACAAAAGGAATGGCCTATAAGCAAGAGCAGATATGGACTGAGGGGGTAGGCGTGGCCTGAAGCTTACAGAAGAGTTGCTGTGTCATAACGGAAACAGCAGGTTAGAAGAAACAAACAGTGATGTCTTGTCTGCTTGAGGAGTCTGGAGATGGAAAGTTAACTGGAAAAAAAAATTTTTTTTTCTTTAGAAAAGGTGTTCTGCCGAGTTATCAGCAAGAAAGAGACACTAAAGTGGCTTCTGGAGAACTAGGTGGCTGTACGGCTTGAGAACTGGCATCAACTCACAGTCTTCTCATTTTCCCCATTTTCTATAATTTTCCTCTTCTTTTCGCCTGTCTTTTTCTTGAAGATGTTATTTCGGTAAAACTGAAGCTCTTTGATGCTTTCGCTAATATCATCGAGTACCCTGTGAGAAGCAGCCTTCTTCGGTGCAAATTCATAATCCTCTGGATACCAGCGTCTGCACAGCTCTTTAACAGTGCTCACATCAATTATCCTGTAATGAAGATGTTTCATGAACTGGGGCATGTATTTGTCAAGAAACTTCTTATCTGCATGAACTGAATTCCCTGCAAGTGGACAGAGCCCCGGAGGAGTCTGCAGTCGTACAAAGGACAGAAATTCGTACTCTGCCTGCTGCAATGTAGTTGTACTCTCCTTCACTGCCTTGGTAAGACCAGACTTCCCATGATGCCCCTTGCACCAATCTGACATGCTGTCCAGCAACTCATCCGGCTGTTTGATAATCAGGTTGGGACCTTCAGCCAAAATGTTAAGATCAGAGTCAGTTATCAGACAGGCCATCTCGATAATCTGATCCTTCTCAATGTCCAATCCTGTCATCTCCAGGTCCACCCAGACCATCCGCTGAGCCATGCTCTCCCCTGCCGCCACCGCCGCGCCCCCTCCCCTCCCGGAACTGCCCGTGCCTGCCACCCACGCCCCGCAACAGCCTTGATCTTGAAGCTTTTAATTTGTTTCCTAGCACTTTAATTGGGAATGCCACAAATGTCTGTTGATCTGAGTCCAGGGAATCTAAAAACATTTTCTATTCTATGGGCCTCCACACACATGAGGCAGACACACAAAAACACAAATATAAATGGAAATGAACAAAAGGTAGGTTGTGGGGGTTGTCTTGATGTGGGCAAGAGGGAGCTAAAAGAGTAATAGGCTTGGTAACACTCTGGAGATTTATGCATATTTGGAGTGTGAAATTCACCCTATTGGCAGATTGATGGGTAGAAAGTCCATCAAAAATTCAGGATGTATTTGGAGGTTTACCTTGTAGATGTGAACACTGAAAATCAGATGAGGACAAAGTGTGGGGCAATGAGAAGAACAGTGTTGATGAGACCCCAGGGTACTGTTCCTACTGCTGTGACTTTGTGTATTGTTCGCCCCCACAGAACAGACCTGAGCAGGATGCTGTCTACTAAGACTGTAACAAATGATAGGGAGCTATGAGTGGAGGAGCTAGGGACTGTGGGCTTCTCTGATCTATTTCTGTTCTTATTTCCAGCTTCTCCAGTTTATGAAGATTTTACAATGGAACCAAATTCCCATGTGATGCCAGGATCTCATGTTCCCGGGTTTCCTACTGAAGGGACCAGCTCCCCATTTCGGCAGCCATAACCGCCAAACATGTGCTTGTCTGACCTTGTCTTAGTCACTAGGAGGTCAGATACCTGCCTCATGGCAAGGAACCAATCAGAAGTTAGCTGGTGGTGCTATGCTTTACGGCTCTGGGTGTGCTTTATGGACAAGTGCACAGCAATGACACACAGAGCATAGCAACCACCCTGGGAGGGCCTATGGGCCATAACAACCAGTTGACCAATCAACACAGGGCAAGCCCTCCAAGCCTGGAGGCACACCAATCCTGAGCCTATGTGTACCCCTAGACACTCCCCTTATGCTTCCCTATAAGATATCTATGCAGACGCTTCGAAGCGTCTTTTCTAGCCATCCACCATGGTGGGTGTATGAAAGACCCGAGCTAACATGGGTTAGCTCGTTAAACAGCAATAAAGCCTCGTGCAGTTTGCATCAAGCTTTCGACTCCGCCTGGTGATTGGGGTGACCGAGGTCCTGGAGGCCCAAGCTTCCGGGGGTCTTTCATTTGGGGGCTCGTCCGGGATTTGCGACCACCTGTCACCTGAGTGGATTCGATCTCGGAGGTAAGATCAATCAAGCTCGCAACTTATATGTTCAATGTTATGTCCACGTTTGCTTGTTATGTCTCTTGCTGTTTTGTTGGTTTGGTGCCAAATCAAACTTGAATTTGATCTGTGCCTGCACAGGACTTGTATTTGGTAATTTGGATCTCAGGGGGAGACAGACGTGTCCTGAGACTCTGAGTCCCACCCTGGACAAAAGTCTGAGGGTTGTCTGGTTTGGACCATAGGGAAAGCAGACATGCTCTGGGCCTCTTGGTCCCGCCCTGGACAAAAGTCCGAAGTGTCTGGGGAAGGGTAGGATACAAAGCGTTGCTTCTCTGAGGGGCAACTGCCCCCACCCCCGACTCCTCTTCCCTCCTGCTCTGTAATTTTGGTTTGGTGCCATTTCTGTGTCTGTAATTTCGTCTGTCACGAGGTTTGTCCTGTCTGTTGTGTCTGTCCTTCTGTTTTTGCTGTTTGTGTCTGTCTCCATATTAACCACCCCATCCCTGGATTCCACCTCTATTGTGACCAGCAGATGTGCCCGGAGGATCACAGACTTCTGCCCTGAGGACACCCAGGAGGTATGGAGGCCAATGACGCTTGGACCCTCCTCAGTTAGCGGCGATTATAGCTGCCTGATTCTGCCGCCCTTCTGACTGGTGCCATTGCCTTATAAGCGGCATGGGTGGATTGGTTTGGCATCTGTTCTTTTCTGTCTATTCTGTCTCTGTGTGTTTTCATCTTTGGTTTTCAATTCAGGATCCAACATGAGACCCCCTTTTGTTGAGTCATGTGGCGCCACACTAGGTATCTTTCTTTTTCAGTCTTTGTTTCTTTAAAGCATGTCTTTACGGTTTCTATAAAGCCTGCAGGGTTGGAACAGGTTATATGACTGACTGGGCAGTTGAGCAGGTTTGTTATCTGTGTTATGTGATCTGTTGCAATCCACACCCTGCCTGCACGCTTTTTGGTGCTGTGTCAGTTTTGTATTTTCAGGTCTGCTGTTTCTGTTCATTTTGTAAATGTAAAGGTCCTATATTAGGGTCACTAGCGACATCTGTAAGTAGGCCTACAAGAATTGTTTAGGGCAGAGGTTCAGGCGACAGCTTCCACAGTCTGTAAGAGAGGGACTTGGTAGGAGAAAGTTGCCTGCTCCATCTGTAAGGAGACCCAGGCAGGTCGCCAATTTGTAGGGGAAACTTGGTTGTGGACCAAGTTGATCTCCATGGGGCTAGCCATCTGAAATTCTGAATAGGACCCTAGTCTGTGTTACTGTGCTGTCTGTCCATGTTTCACATTTGTGCTGTGTTTGTTAAGCATCTCTTTCTGTCCCTACTGCCCACACACGTGGTATGCATGGGTCAGGGGTTTTTTCTTGCTGCCCTGAGCACGTGGACAGGAGTTCTTCTGCCATGTGCCATGGGTTAGAATGTACTGTGGCAGAGTCCCCCGAGGCTGCTTTTCTGAACTCCAACCATGGCTGCCTCCCTCACAGCTGAGCCTGGCCGATATAGGTAAGTCGGTTTTTCTATCCTCACCTGCCGGTCTGTGAGGCAGGCGAAATGGGGCTGTCTGTGCCTCAACTGCCATCCTGCCGTGTGTCTTGGCTTACAGCGGGAGTTTCCCTGCCCTGAGCACATGACTGTAAGGCCACCATATGCCTGGCTGCCTGGCTTTCTCTGTGCTCCACACATGTGGTATGCAAGGAAACTGCGGGTGTCTTTTTTCCACCCCTGCATTGGCAGAGGGTCTTGGATTACCAGCAGCACCCCCCCCCAGGTCTCTGCCCTGAGCACATGGAGCTGGGGCAGATGAACTATCTGGCCTACTCTGGACGTTCTAAAGAAATGGCCTTAAAGTTATTAAAAATTATAAAAGGGACTTTGATAAGAATTTTTATGTTGACTGAGAAATGAGAAATACTGTGACCAGCAGATGTGCCCGGAGGATCACAGACTTCTGTCCTGAGGACACCCAGGAGGTATGGAGGCCAATGACGCTTGGACCCTCCTCAGTTAGCGGCGATTATAGCTGCCTGATTCTGCCGCCCTTCTGACTGGTGCCATTGCCTTATAAGCGGCATGGGTGGATTGGTTTGGCATCTGTTCTTTTCTGTCTATTCTGTCTCTGTGTGTTTTCATCTTTGGTTTTCAATTCAGGATCCAACATGACACCCCCTTTCATTGAGCTTTGTGGCGCCACACTAGGTAACTTTCTTTTGTTCTATCTTTGTTTCTTTATGGTTTCTATAAAGCCTGGAGGGTTGCAACAGGTTATGTGACTGACTGGGCAGTTGAGCAGGTTTGTTATCTGTGTTATGTGATCTGTTGCAATCCACACCCTGCCTGCATGCTCTTTGGTGCTGTGTCAGTTTTGTATTTTCAGGTCTGCTGTTTCTGTTCATTTTATAAATGTAAAGGTCCTATATTAGGACCTAGCGACATCTGTAAGTAGGCCTACAAGAATTGTTTAGGGCGGAGGTTCAGGTGACAGCTTCCGCAGTCCGTAGGAGCGGGACTTGGTAGGAGAAAGTTGCCTGCTCCATCTGTAAGGAGACCCAGGCAGGTCGCCAATTTGTAGGGGAAACTTGGTTGTGGACCAAGTTGATCTCCATGGGGCTAGCCATCTGAAATTCTGAATAGGACCCTAGTCTGTGTTACTGTGCTGTCTGTCCACGTTTCACATTTGTAGGCTGTGTTTGTTAAGCATCTCTCTGTGTCCTTACTGTCCATGCGAATGGTATGCTTGGGTCAGGGGTCTTTTCTTGCTGCCCTGAGCACGTGGCGCGGGACAGGAGTTCTTCTGCCATGTGCCATGGTTAGAATGTACTGTGGCAGATTCCCCCGAGGCTGCTACTCTGAACTCCAACCATTGCCGCGGCCCTCACAGCTGAGCCTGGCCGATATAGGTAAGTCGGTTTTTCTATCCTCACATGCCAGTCTGTGAGGCATGTGAAGTAGGGCTATCTCTGCCCCAACTGCCATCCTGCCATGGGTCATGGCTTGCAAGGCCACCATCTGCCTGGCTGCCCGGCCTTCTCTGTGCTCCACACACATGGTATGTAGGGGAACTGAGGGGGTCTTTTTCCCACCCCTGCATTGGCTGATGGTCTGGGATTACCAGCAACACCCCTCTCCCCCAGGTCTCTGCCCTGAGCACATGGAGCTGGGGCAGGTGAACTATCTGGCCTGATCCAGACATTCTAAAGAAATGGCCTTAAAGTTATCAAAAACTATAAAAGGGACTTTGATAAGAGTTTCTATGTTGACTGAAAAATGAGAGAAATTGTAGGAGACTAAAATAATAAAGAGGGGAAGGGAAAGAGCAATTTGTCTGAGAATGTCTAAAAAATCAGAGGAATAAACAAAGGTATATAGAAAGTTATAGGGGGTTAAAGCAAGCCATAGAAGGTCAGAGGAAAGGTTGTTAAATGTCAGAGAAAAATATAAACTCTTTGCTATGTTTTTTCATTTCTACAAATAGTAAATTTTAAAAATTGATAATATAAGTTAAAATTTTAACCATATTAAGTTAATTCTGTTT